CCGGGGGCCGCGGCCGAGCGCAGCAGGTGGGGCGCGGCCGCGGCCGGGCGCCGGGCGGGTGACCGGAAAGGTGCCGGCCGGCTGACCGGCCGGGCCCGGGGCCGCGGCGGCTGGAGGGGCTGCTCCCGCTCACCTCAAGGCGACGACTCCGCGTCCGGCCTCTTCGCGCTGGGGACGCCCGTCCGCGAGTCCGCGAGCTCGAAGACGAGGACCGGCAGCTCCGTGGAAGACGGCGGACTAAGGAGAGAACCGACGGGAGACCGCGGGCGGCGGGCGGGGAGCGCGAGCGAACGAGGGCGGGCGGTGGCGGGAGGGCGGGGAGCGACGTGCGCGCCCCCGAGCGCCCTGCGGGCTCGAGCTGGCGCCGGCCGCGGCCCCGCGCACGCGCGCACGCTCGCAGTTCAGCCACGATTGCTCGAGAGCGCGTCCACGCCCTAAAAGCAAGACGCTTAGCCAATCAGCGCGGTCGCGTGGAGCATCACGGGAACTCCGGGGCTATAAAAGACCGAGTTGCTATTTTATACTCACCGAATCACTCATCCTTTAAGTAAGCAGGGCGGGGCCGGGCGCGCCTGCGCGGTTTTAAAACCCCGCCCCAAACTGCCAACACTTCGCGCAAGCAAAGTAGATCTTCCTTGCTTGCTATTGCGCGTGCGCGCTGACGGGCCTAACCCCGGAAGACCATACGCTTGCGCTGTGAGGACTACGGTGACAGTCCACCCGGTGGGGCGCTGCCCAGTCATGGCGGAGCCTTGGTCTGGGCAGTTTCTGCAAGCCCTGCCCGCTACGTTGCTCGGAACCCTGGGCACCCTGGGCAGCGAGTTCCTACGGGAGTGGGAGACGCAGGACATGCGAGTGACTCTCTTCAAAGTGCTCTTGCTGTGGTTGGTGTTAAGTCTCCTGGGCATCCAGCTGGCGTGGGGGTTCTACGGGAACACAGTGACCGGGTTGTATCACCGTCCAGGTGAGGCTCCCTACGAACCTCCTTCGCCTGGCTGCCCCTACCACCACCACGCTGTACCACTGGGTTCTCCTGTGTCCCCATAGACTACCCAAACTTACACCGCGACCCCCTTACCATTTTAGACCAGAATCCCCACCTGTCCATTATCACACTGGAACTGTTTCTCAAAACCCTTACCGGACAATATTACTAGTCCCTCCTATCCCAGCCCCAATCTCTATTAAACTATACCAGGGGCCCCTGACCTGACCTGGGCTAATGCCTGCTCAGATCCCCACCCTCAGCCTCCTGCAGCTCTGGGTGTGTTCCTGCCTCCAGGTCTGGGTGGCCAGAATGGATCCACACCTGATGGCTCCACACATTTCCCTTCATGGTGAGTAAATCTCTGTCTATCCCAACCCCGTACTTGGCAGGCAAAGAACACTCAAGTGATGGTGACAGGAAAGAGCATTCTCAGGATGTGAGTGCATCAGCTTAGTGGCCTTTGCAAGAAAGAATCCTCCAAGCCTGCAGGTAGTGTTCAGGATTCCAGACGGGGGTCCTCGATGCCTTTAGAGCTTCTCCTCAGCATATTCAGTGGGGACTGATGGTTTTATCATAACTTCAGAAAGATGAAGTGGCAGATCTGCTGGAAATGAGTCCCTTGGTTGGGAAGTCCTTCATTAGGAAAGCAAGAGCATCTATTTTAGGCATTGGCGCTGTAACCCCCACCCCAGCCTCACAGCCTCTATTCTTAGCATACTACCTCATCAAGTCAGCCTCCTAATCTCTAAAAACAACAGCTTGCCTATCAGGACATTTCATTCAGCTAATCTCTGAGCCCCTGCCAGATGGCAGAGGTCAGAGTAGGCCCCGAAAACAAGGACAACCCAGACTCTGCTCACAGGGGAATCAAAAGATTTATAACAGAAATAAGTATAGATGCAAAGAGCTTGGGGAAGCCCTCCCGTGACACCTAAACTGAGACCAAAGAGAGAGAGTAGCACTGTATACTGGACAAGAAAAAATATATGTGGATAAGACAAAGCCCACTGACAAGAAGAGTGGCAATAGAAGACTAGACCGGGCTGTGATGGTGAATTCTGGAGCAAGGTCTAATTCAGCAAGACATCATTTAGGAAGGCTACCATTGTCTTAGCCAATCACCATAATGTAGGGCACTGTCATAGAAAAATGGTGGACCCAGCAAGGACTATGAGAGATCTGTAAAGTCTAGATTTTTACCACAAGCCTTACTGATCCCAGCTTAGCCAAGAAGGAGCTATTCTGCTATCCATGAAATAACTTTGCTTCTCTCCGTTTCTTTCAGGGAAGTGGCAGCAAACGAACTTCTCAAAACCCACAGAGAATAAGGGAAGGCAGCAGCAGAAGGGTCTCCAGAGATGTCACTGGGTCTGCTGGCTCCTATGCTGCATCTTGTTGCTGCCCAGACCACTTGGACAACTGTAGAGGGCTTGGGGTTGAGGGACTGAAGTACCACAATGCTTCTAGGGTGAGCTTAAGTTGCCCTCAATCTTGCCTCCAGCAGCTCCAGGTACTAGGCAGGTGAAGTTGGTCTCTATCTTTGTGTAGTTACCCTAAGGAAAGACTTCTGTCCAGGGTCAGAGCTAAGAAGCATTTTGGTTGAGAAAGTCAGTAGCCCGTTTTCTCACCTTGGCTTTTTCCTGACTTCCTCATACCCTTGGGATGTGATCTTACAGAAATTTCTCCTTCTAAGAGGAATCTTGAAGTTGACCAGTTCCAAGATTTCTAAAGAAAATCTGTTCTCCCCTAAGCCCTGATTGCCTTGGCTTTGCTTTGTAGGCAAAAAGCCAGCTAATCCTGTCTGGATTTAGACACCAAACATGTACCTCCCTGGCCCAGCTAGAATCTTCCAGGTCTGAGGCAGGCAGAGGAAGTTATTTCCCAACTGATTTATTTCTCTGCTCTTTGAGAGTAAGTTAAGTTCCTGAGAGATAGCTCACTAAGAGATCTCCACTGCTTAAGTACCCACAGGCATCTTTTGGTCTGTACCTTGTCCCCTCCTAGGGAGGTACTAAGCAGTTATTGTGCCCTGAAGCCTTATCATGCTCATCTGGATAAGGGCCAACTCTTGAGAGTCCACTAACACCATTTCAGCCTCTAGGAATTTCAGTAAGAATGAGCCACAAGCCAGACAGTTCTGGGCCCTTCACAGTGGGTCAAAAGAGATTCCAAAGGGGTGGGTGGCCAGTGTCCCCACGAAAATACCACTTCCAGAGAACACTATGGTTCCTAAAAGCACTGTGGCCCTGGATCTGTCTCTTCTAATGGTTGTACTCCTGTCTCTGCTGGGCCACCAGCTACCTCAGGTGTCCACTGTCTCTGTTAGATGTCACACAGCCGTCCAGCAGCCTTTGCCCACAGAGATTTTGTAGCGGGTATACTCTAAGTGAAACTGTACTGAGCCCCTCATGCACATGAACCTTCTCCAGAGATGTCATCTGTATGGCAGAAAGATGTTCTTCCTAGCCTCATGCCCACCCTCTGACATCACTATAAAGAGTCAAGGTCTCACATTCTACCCCAAGAGATGTGGCATATTAAACACAGAAGTGCATGAGTTGTGCAGTTATTCCAACAGGACAAATGTGTGTGCATATGGGCAACTGGTAAGAGATCATGGGTACATTGCCCTCAGGATCCAAAATACAGCAATTTGCAAACATGGAGAAAGTGATGCCCTCTCCCTAGAGTGGTGGTGGGTTGCACAGCAGGGATTGGGGGTAGGAGGGATTGGGGGGGCTGAGTTAGTATCTCATGTTGTACAAGCTGACCTTTAATTCAATATATTGTAGAAAATATAAGTGTGAATAATGTTTATTATTAAATGCTATAATTATTGGGGTGGATATTATTTAACCCCTTTTCAAACAATAAAAGACACAGGCACCTGTTGTATTTAAATAAGCCTTGTTTCACCTGGGGTTGGGCAGGTACCACCCCCCAATCTCCGTTGTTACCCCTCAGCCCCACATCCCACGCCGTTTGCTTTGATCATTTCTGTCTGGGCTACTTCCCATCCAATATCTCCATAAATACGTACATGTGCTGAGCTGATTCTCTCCTGGCCCATGTGGTTCTTTACCTATCCCCATGGCAACTGTTTCCTCTTCTGTCTCCTTCCCTCCTGTCCTCAAATCGAACTTGGGCCACATCTGCCTCGCCTCTGCCCTGCCCAGGTGTGTAGGCATTTATTCAGCTGATGAGGGATAATTTTGGAGGCAAAGTTACACAGCAATATTTGGGTTAAGTGATAGTCTACTCTTAAGAGACAGCAAGCAGACCTCAGGGAGCAAAATAATTAACAATAATTAATTAAATAATTAATAATTATTAACAAAATAATTAGCAATTAACAATCAAATACAAAGCACCAGACCGTGCTGTTACAATATACAATATATAGCTGAGGAGGATGGCCCTCTCAATACTTTTGACTCCAACTTGCACGTACTGGGATTAGCCAGCACATTTCTGTATCCCTGTTAATTCTCATAACCGGCCCCTTTCAAGGATATCCTACCCAGAGCCTATCTTGGAGGCCAAGAAGATGGGCCTTAGGTTGACACCCCAGAAACCCAGTGAACAATAAATAAATAAATAAATAAATAAATAAAGCTTGAGACCATGGCAAGTAATAAGGAAAGACACTTTAATTTTTTTTCAAGAGTTAGAAAAGTATAATTACTCACCACAGCGGAGGGCAGCCCAGGTACTAAGCCTGCCATGCCATGTCTTACCTACTGTGCAACAGGCTGAGTTGACTAGGGAATGTGGAAGGGTGAGTCCATGTTTGCTCAGCCATCCCTAAGTCTACACACACAGGAACAACTCAGCCAACACTGAGTCAGGCAGGACTCATTTCTGCCCAAGGAAAGGCAGCAGTGCATTCATGGAAAGCAAAGTGGAGAAGGTCCCTAGGCCCACACTGCCCACAATAATAGCCCTTTGAAACTAGAGAAACCATGGTGAGAGGTAGGTTGGGCAGGTGTTATTCTTCACACAAAGGCAATGGGCTTATGGACTAAAATGGGACATTAAGTAAGGTTATTTGTCATTTAAAAATTGGGCCCTAAAGTTAGAATGGCTTGTCATGGAAGGAGTCTGGATGGAATGCTCTCCCCACCCTAACCAGACCACAGCAAACCTCACTCAGCTTCCACCCCTGTGAGTTCTGCTTCACTGTTCTTACTGAGCTCTCTGAATGCCCTCTAGGGAAAGGCTCCTGGAGGGAAGGGCTTTTCCATGGACCGACTTCATTTGAGAGTATAATAGTTCGTGGGCACAAAGGGCATTTTGCTGACCACCGCCATCTGCTGCTTCCGTCGAACCTCCACCAGCAGCTGTGTTCCTGTTCGACTGTACTTGAACGGCACATACCCCATTGCTACATTCTTCTTCAGGCTGGGTGAAGGGCAGCCACTGGTCACTGTACCTGTGCAGGCATAGGCCGTAGGTTAGCACCACTCTGCCAGCTCAGTATCCCTACCCTGGACCTCCCGCCAGCCAGTGTCCCCATGGTGGACCACTTACCAATCACGGTGCCTTCTGTGTTCAGGATAGGACTGTGTGCTCTCATTGGAGCCCCTTCACATATCAACCCGACGCGTCTCCGCTGCACCTCCCCCTTCAGCTGAGGAACAATGACATCGGCTCCTGGGAAGTCCATAGCAATTCGGCGACGCTTCCCTGCAACATGACACACTACAAGTAAGCCGCAGTCCAAGACGCCAAGTGACATCCATCAAGCGTCACTTGGGCTCTTGGGCTGTTTTTCCCCTGAACTACAGTCATCAACTATCCCCTGGAAGCCATACTTACAGTCCTGTTTATTTATTTTTGTTTTAGGTACATTGGTATTTTGCCTTCATGTGTGAGGGAGTCGGATCCCCTGGAACAGGAATTTAAACGGTTGTGAGCAGCCATATGGGTGCTGGGGATTGAACCTGGGACCCTGGGAGAGCAGCCAATGTTCTTAACCACTGAGCCATCTTTGCAGCCCCTCAGTCCTCAGTTTATAACAGGCAAAGCCACAGTAGCACCGTCAGGGAATGAAGGCTCAGCCAGGCTGAGCTGTTCCAGCCTATACAACCTTAAGACTAGTCAGGGGCTAACTGGTTTCATTAACGGGAATTCTGACTCTCAGGAACCCTTGGATGCTAGCCCGGCTCACCCAGCGTCCAGCTGAGGCTGCCCTCCACGGGCGTGGTGTGTTCATCAATGTCATTCCCGTACAGACAGAGGCCCGCCTCCAGGCGCAAACTATCTCGGGCTGCTAGTCCTGCGAGCTTCACCTCTGAGTTCTTCAGTAGAGCAGTTGCCATGTGGGCTGCCCTTCCTGCTGGCACTGATATCTGCACAAAGGACCAGGAAGCAGATGGACAGTTACCCCTAGGTCTTGAATCCAGGAATTGCTTTTACTGCTTTTGGTTGTGAAGGTAAGGTAAAAATACCTTAGCACTACATTATATGCCCATTTCCCCTACTGCCATCCCTCTTTCTGAGTCAGGTATCCTAGGTTGGTTTGTAATTTATGATCCTCCTTGTCTGTACTTACCAGGTGCTGGGATTATAGGCATGTGTCACCTCCTGCCAAGCTTCACAACCATCTCTTTTTTGGCTTTGTTTTCTTTGAGCGAGGCTCTCACTATGTGATCTTGGTCAGCCTGGAACTCACTATGGAAACCTAGCCCACCTGAATTAAGATCTTCCTGCTTCTACCTTCAAAGTATGGGATCATAGGCATGTGGTACCATATGGAATAACTTCTTCTTGGCATACCTCCACACCATCCTCTCCTGTGTAGCCACAGCGGGTCACACGACACCCAGGCACACCAAACACCTCCATCACAACACTGGTCATGAAGGGCAGTTTCCTCAAATCATCTGTCACACCAGCCTGCAGCACCTGTACTGTAGTGGGTCCTGAGCCCAAAGAGAAAAGCCAAGGGTGTTGGGCCCGACACTCCCTGGACTACAGCCCTTATTTAGGAAGCAGAAGAGAGCACCAGCAAGCCCAACTCTGCAAGTAGGGAGGGGATGCCCTTGTCCCTTGCCCATGAACAGTCTTGCAGCAGGTGAGAGGAGAGGAAAGATACTTAACTCTGGAATTATGGCATATATGCCACAGCATCCACACCTTCCTCCCGGGATAGCCTCCATGCTAAGCAGCACGTGCAGCCAGGAAGGCAAGGGCTGGCTCTAGCCCCAACCTGGCACCCTCACCTTGCAAAGCTAACAGGGCATTATCTACCACCTCCAGGCCTACATCACTGCCCCTGTTCTGGAACTCCTTGACTTTATCCTGAAATGAAAAACAGAAACACATCAGTGTCTGAGACCATTTCTGCGCACTTAACCCACACCTTAACCTTAACCCACACCTTAACCCCCAGCAGAGGATGCTCATTTCAGGATCAGCTCTAGCTAGCTCCCCACCTCCTCTAGTCCCCATCCCCAAACCCTGGTGTGTACCAGGGAGAGCCTACTTTTCAGTTTATTGGCTGTTCCTTTATTCAGAGTCATTTTCTGAGCCCCTATTCGCACTGGGCACTGCTTTATGAACAAAGAGTGCCTAGAATAAAGCACGGCTGTACCTTCATGAGAGCCAAGTCCTTGTCCCGGCAGCCAGCGTTGGACACTACATACAGGTGCCCCTCAGAAGTATTGGTCACAATCAAGTCATCTAAGATACCTCCAGCTTCATTGGTAAACAGTGACAGTGTTCCCTAGCAGTAAAGAAGAACATTATCTCCAGGTGCAGGAAGCTAAGCAAAGTGAAACACTCTTAGATCCCAAAATCAGCTACCACAAACTCAGGAACACAGTTCTAGGTAAAGGGTGCAAAGTAAGACTCAAATCTAGGGCCTCTGGTCTTCATTTGTCAAGCAAATCATAAATTCTCACCCCTCCCATTTTAGGGGGTCTCCCCAAACTAGTGGAACCATCTCCCTCACTACTCAGTTCTTAGAAACCCATTTCACACTCACCCTATGACACCAAGGAACTCCTCCTATGTGCCACCCTCCAGGATAAAAGTGTCAAAGACCATTTTCATGATCCCACAGGCTCCCAGCATGTTTTTCAGCAATGCATTTAAAACGCTAAGCTGGCCCTAGCCCTGCCACTGACAAAGCCTGAGGGAGATAGCTCGCACAAACTACATCGGGATCTTGGTAAAACTAAGGTTCTGTCCAGAGCAGTGCCTCAGCATGTTCCTAGAAGATGGAGGGGCTGCTGGTTTAGAGACCACGCTCTGAATAGCAAAGGTATGGGCAGCGTGAGAGCTCAGGGCACATAAACATTACGCTCTGGCCTCCCAACCCAAAGGAGTAAGGCTGGGATAGTGCTTCTTTGAAGCTGGATGGGGATCTAGAAACAACCCAAAGTTAGCAAGGCCCAAAAAGCTATACTGACCTATCTGTACCTCTTATGCTCGAGTCAGGGACTTAAGCTGTCTACTGGCTCAAGGCTAAAAATACCCATTGAGAAGAGATAAAATAGCCAGGTGTGGTGGTGGTGCACACCTTTAATCCCACCACGAAGGCAGAGGCAGGCGGATCCCTGTGAGTTCGAGGCCAGTCTGGTCAAGGAGTCCAGGACAGCCAAGGTTACACAGAAAAACAGTCTCAAAAAAAAAAAAAAAAAAAAAAAGATAAAATGGGCCCACCTGGTTAGGCCTTAGTTCCGCAATGTCTCCAACCACTATGCTCTCCATCAGCTTCACTCGATCACAGCCAAATATCTTGGTCTAGGGAAAATATGGAAAGTCCCAGGCCACTGAAATATCTGCAGCCTAAAAGGCTACAAGGCAGTGAAGCGTCCTCCAAGTTGCTCACAGCACAGCCCAGCCAAGAAGTGACTGACTACAGTCTATTGGTTCAAGAGGTGGTAGAGGTCCTATCTTCTCATTTCCCCTAACCCTCCCGGCCTCGGGGTGACTGAGCAAGGTCTAAGAATTCAAGGGGACCTAGCACCCAACCAATTTCCAAACCAATACCTAGCACAGCAGATGAGAGTAGGTAGGTATCAGCTCTAGCAAACCCACGGGCATTAAAACACACCACGGGAGCAGGAGAGGTAGGAGGTAAATTGTGAGACCTCCTGTTTAGTCCTCTGGTGTCCCTAACCCTGGAGTCCAAGACATCCTCAAACGAAGCTGCCGAGTACGCTACTGTAGACAGGGCGGAAGGCCTGATCCATCCTGACTCACCTGCAGCATGTGGGACACATCAAAGAGAGAACAGTGCCGGCGCGTATGCAGGTGCGAGTCAACGTGACTGTCGCGGTATTGCACCGGCAGACTCCACCCTGCAAACGCCACCATTTTCCCTCCGTGGGCCAGGTGGAAGTCATAGAGTGGAGTCCTGCGGAGCACATCCTGTACGTGGGCAGGCTTAATGACACCGGGGCCCCAGTGCCATCAGCTCCCTTCCCCCACCCTCCGAGACCCTTAGCCCACCTGTACAGAACTGAGTGGGCGACTCTGGACCAAGAGTTGCGCCTGCAGACGAAAACCCAGGGGGGCCACCACACTCACTGACCGCTGCATTGTCACCCGCAACTGGTGCAGCCGGCACACTGAGGCCACTACTCTGCCAGGCACTCTGGGAGATGTAGTCCGAACCCCTTGCTGGGACAGGTCTTTCTGGTCCGTAGGGGATGGGAAGAAGGGCGGGAAGCCCACAGGGCAGGCTGGGATTTCAAACTGAGAGCTGACTCCCGATGGCCTCAGGCTTTTCCTCTAGCTAATCAAATCAAGTCAGGCATTTCAGAGCGGAATAAGCTGCCTAGAACCAGAATTGGGGGTTAGAACTCTGTTGGGGGGGGGGGGGGGGGGGGAACCCCCGCCCCCCGGGCAAAAGTGTTTGGAGGGCCGGGGAGGGGGGGGGGGGAGGGGGGGGGGGGGGGGGGGGGGGGGGGTTAGAACTCCCTGCCTCCAGGTCAAAGTTCTGTGAATGCCTGAGAAGCCTGAATTAACACATGCAGGTCAAATAGCAGTGGGAGGCAGAGCAATCACTAGAGAGGCCGAAGCCCTTGGGCAGGCACAGTTCTGTTGCAGCCTGGCCTCTACCTCTCCCTCTCGGTACACACAAGAAGCCAACACACTCGTGTATTCCACATATATTTATTGATCTTACTGTACCCTGGCTCCAGTGCTGGGAACTTAGAAACACAGCTGTGAATTACGGGTGGTCCCTGCCACCCCAGGATCCTCTTCACTCATGCACACTGAAGACCATTGTTCCCTGAACATAGGACTATGGTGATCACCCTTTCAGCAAAAACGGAAAGACACCACCTTCAAAATGCAGGGTAGCCACCAAAAAGTGGCTAGACTGTCCCAGAAAATGGTGGCACATACACATGTCCAATTTTCCAGGTCTGAGACACCTTCCAGGACTGCTTAACAATCCTTCCCAGGGGCAAAGCCAGGAAGAACTAGAGGGAATCAAAATTTGATCACAGGAAAGGGCAGCAGCTGTCTTTGTTTAGTGGTTGCGCTGGGGTAGGAGAGGGCCTCAGCCCCTCCAAAAGCATCAGTGAGATGCTCACTTGGACACATTCGCCCCAGGGTCCATCTCTTATCATCCTGAGCATGACTGGCAGAAGCAACTGGGGAAAGGATCTTGGGTGTGCTTTTCGCTGAGTCTGATCACAAATAGGTTGGCCGTCTCATTCTCAGGCCCCAGCTGCACTAAAAGCACTGGCCCAGAACTGACAGAAAACACTTTTCAGGAGCCAGTTCAGGGACCCAAGCACTCAAGCTCCCAAAAACCCCAGCTTCACCTCCTAGGCTGGTAGCAGACAAACTTAAAGGAGGTGGGGGAGGCATTTTCTCTTTCTTTCTTTGTATCTTTCTTTCTTTCTCTCTTTCTTAAAGACGGAGTCTCACTATGTAGCCCTGATTGGCCTGGGCTTCACTGTGTAGACCGGGCTGGCCTTGAATTCACAGAATGCTGAAATTAAAGGTATGTGCCACCATGCCTGACCCTGGAACATTTTCTTCTTACAGATATAATACAAAAGAAAAAAGGCCATGAGCAGGAGCAAAAGAACGAATAGGGGGCGTCTCTTCCTCAAGCTTCACAGGTCATGAGTATCAAAACAGCACTGTGTTCCCAGGCTACATGGAACAGGTTTATCTCAGCAATGAGGAAAATGGTAGCATATTGGCAGAACAGACAGGAGAAGTTCAAGGCTTCTAAGTAGAACTGGTGAATTTTGAGAGAAAGAGACTGAATTTGCATGTCAGACAGGAAAGGACAGAAAGTGGCCCCATTAGAAATTCATGCTCCAACAACTAGTGAGTGTCAAGAATTCCCAAGCTGTAAATTTTGTCCAGATAAAATTTGGATGCACAGGGAACACGCTTCAGCCTCTGTTGGCCAAACCACGCCTGGACGGGCACAGAAGGCCAATGTCTCAAGTAGATTCTGCTGCTCACGTGTAGGAAAGCAAGTTCAGATCATAACAGCCATCCACCTGCAACATAAGAGACTGTCAGTCCTGAGCTGCTCAAAGCGACTCTCGCCAAGCAAAGGGAAGCATCACTCACGTCAAAGCGGCCAATCCTCGTGGAGGTGTGACTAGCCCGAATCATCTCTGTCAGCGCCCACATCTGCTGCACCTCAGAGGACACTCTGCTGGGGTCTGGGAGCCCCTGCTCCAGAAGGAAGGAAGAGCTGTCACGAGTCTCTCCCCAGACTGCCTGCCCGTAGAGATGTAAGCTATGTATGGGCACCCCAGCTGAAACTAGTAACATTCCTGGATAACTTGCAGAACATGTGATTGTGGCCTGATGTTCACTCAGCAAGCAATCCATGCCTACCCCAGGTATGATTCAAATTCCACAGAGCACCAAGGAAGACACTGAACAATGAGCCCTGGGTCCACTCTCAATTTTTTGTATAGTGTTGGGATCAAACCCAAGACCTTGTGATGCTAGTTAAGTATTCTACCACTGAGCTACATCCCCAGGCAGCCCCAGGATAGCCAGAGGCCCACTTCTTCATGCTCTGGCCATCAGAACCATGTATACGTGGCTAATGCCCAATGTTAGAGAGTTTACCTCAGCACAGGGAGCAGGCTGCTCATTGCACACTGGGTGAGAAAGCCACTTGGGGAACAAGGAGGGGCTCTGCAAAGCAAAGGCATAATATCATGAGTGAGGCAGAATTGGAGCTCTGGCACCTGAGTGCAAAGTAAAGGGCCCTTGAGTCTGAGACACCGGGAAATCCCTGGTCAGGGCCAAGTAAAATCAAAGGGACAGACCCTCAGATTGCTAAGCTCTTCTGTTATGCAGGAGAATCCAGGAACATAGGCAACAAAAGTATATCCCAGCACCAGAAGCAGTGAGTGGTCTCAAAGGTCAGGGGAGCCAGAGACAGAAGGTCAGCTTTGATTATGAACTGCTGCAATCACACTCCTCCAACTTCCAGTGAAGACTTCCTTCTGAGTCTCAGCACCCTTGCCAATGACCCACCCCAGGGCCCCTAGCCAAAGCTAGAAGCCTTTAAGGTAAAGGGCTAGCTGATAGACAGGTTTCAGGGAGTCACTTACCTTTGGTCCCTGCTGGTAGATTTGCAGTTCCTCCACTGTGAAAGACAGCCACAGTGGTGATGGCTGCCGTAGAATCAGACGCAGCTCCAGCACCCTAGTCATGTCACACAGCATCTGACACACACATAAAGTGACCCACTGAGCTGGGTGTGGTGGCAGATGACTGTAATCCCAGCACTCAGGAGACAGAGGCAGGCGAGTCCTTTCTCTGAGTTCAAGACTAGCCTGGTCTACAAAGTAAGTTCCAGTATAGCCAGGGCTACACAGAGAAACCTTGTCTCAAAAAACAAACAAGCACATAGTTTTCAAACAAACTAACAAAAAAAGACCCAACTGAAGACCAAGCTTATTTACCAAGAACCTACCAACCAACAGTAAACCAAATGCTTCCCCAAGTCTTTGGGAAGGACAGAACAGCAGTCTCTCCAAAGTACCTGCCTGGAGGCCACAGTCCAGACCGGTTTTACTACACTCTTCCCTTCTGCTCTTCTGCCCATTTCTAGGCAGGAAGTCCTCATCTAGGATGCCCTGACCAGGCTGAAGCCCAGCTCACCTGGTGCTTGAACAGTGATACGTACTCCTGGGCTCCCTCCTCACTGTGCGGGTCAGGCATCAAACAGCGGTTCCGCAGGCAAGTTACCCACTTGCCTGGTGTGGCCCCTGGGGTAAGCTGACGAACACGGATGCTCAAAAAAGCTGTGTAGTAATTCTTAAATGTGATCTCCTGCAACTAGAACACACACAACCCACCGTGAGAATGGAGACCCATGCCCAGTGACATCATCTCCTCCTTCTGGAATGTACACTTTAGCTAAACAATTCAACAAATATGGGGCCCAAACATGATTTTTCTTTCCTAAAAGGGCTCACAATCCAGTAAGTCGTGTAAACAAACCGAGCTAACACATCTAAGATGGTATCAGAGGTCAGACCCCAAGCCCCAAAGAAAGCAAAAAACGGACATGTAAAACCTGAAAGAGGCTGAACTTGCTAAGCGAACCAACGCAAGCAGGGAAGGTAATCCACGGGGCTGAGGAGGCAGCTCTGTAGGTACGGTACCTGCCTTATCCAACATGTCTGAAGCTCTACGCTAGATGCTCAGTACTGCATAAACCAGGCATATGATCACGATCACGCAGACTTGTAACCCGAGTGCTTGGGAGGTAGAGGAAGGATATCAGAGGTTCGTGATAAGCTTCACCTATTCTTGGTCACCCTGGGATTCCTGAGATTCCCCCCTCACTCCACTCAAAAAAAAAAAGAAAAAGTAGCATGTTCTAAAAAGTACCACAATGAGAGGGCCTGAAGACATGGCTCAGTGGTTAAGAGCACTGACTGCTCTTCCAGAAGAACTGGGTTCAATTCCCAGCACCCGCATGGCATAAATTAAGAAAAAAAAGAAAAAAGTACCACAGTGAGAGAACCTGAGAATCTAGTATGTAATAACAGAGGTTCAATCTCTCTCTCTCTCTCTCTCTCTTAGACCAGAATAGGAATAGTGGTATAATTTGTTGAGTACACTGCAAGAACATGGGATGGCCATGGGCTGGCTAGGCCTACAGTACCAACTGCCACAGAAGTAGTCTTCAACACTGGATGCACACCAGAATCACCTATGGCACTTAAAAAAAACACACACACACAGATATCAGAACTGGAGAGTTGGCTCGGCAGTTAAGAGCACTTGATGCTCTTGCAGAGGGTCAGGTTTGGTTCCCAGCACCTACATGGCACCTTACAGCTGTTCATAACTCCAGTTCCTGGGGATTCAGAACCCTCTTCTGGCCTCCACTAACACCAGGCATACACAAATTATATAAGCATACAGATACGACATTCATAAATTTAAATAAACATTTTTTAAATAAAAATATTAGGGCTGGAGAGATGGCTCAGCCATTAAAGGCTAGGCTCACAATGATAAAATAAAAATATTAGACCTTTTGCCCTTTGCCCTTTCCTCTTCTCCCTTCCCCTGCCTTTCTCTCTTGCTCTGCTCTTTCTCTCACTTTTTCTGTGTCTCTCCTCTTCTCCCCATGCTTTTCCTCTCTCTCTCCCTCCTCCCTCCCACGCTGCTCCAATAAAACTACATTTATATTAACTTTTTTAAAATATTAATATATATATTATGTATATATATAACATATATATATTATATATATGTTATATATATATATGTATGTATGTCAAAGATCCGGCTCAAACACAGTGACTCAGATTTTCCAGGGTCAGATCAATTAATTCGGTTTCCCCACCCTACGGTAAGCACATTTTGGTAAAGAATAACATAACCCAAAGCATACAGGGTCAAGAGAGTGGGTGAGGCACAGAATGCTATACCATTAGAGGTAGGCTTTGTTCTGTGTGGAGGTCATGCCATGTCACTTGGTCAGCTGAGATGCAAGTGCAATTGGAAACAATTCATTAGGAGGACCTAGAGGAAGGATGAGTTTACACCTGAGCTGTGGCAGGGACCATTGGAATGGGGAAGTTTATATCATTATTTAAGGACTCCAGCTATGATCAAAAACGAAATACCCTCTCATTTGTACTGAGGTTCAAAATTGTATTTCCTGTGATGTCCCGGGCACTGGGAAGAGATGCTGAAGAGAACAGGACAGGAAACTCTACTCTAATAGCGATTAAAAAAAAAAAAAAAAAAAGCGTATATGCTATTGAATAAAGCCAGTCCGCAAAAACATGGGACACTGCAGAGGCTCTCAAAGAGTAAATGCCTGGGAAACGCCCAAGTCACTAGGTCTAACCCGCCCAGAAGCCTTGGTCGCGCCTATTGGGGGGGTCGCTCACCTCGAAAGGCGCGACGTTGGGAAAGGTGACATCGACAACCAGTACGCCAGGCCGACCTTGGGAGGTCCTCATGTCGCCCACTTGCAGGGCTACGGTACTTTTCACATGACAGGGCACCAACAAACGGGACATGATGCAGGCGACCAAGCGAAATCTCCGCTGTCTCCAACCACTATCCCTTATTGGCGTAACCTAGAGAACCAAAGAACTACAACTCCCAAGCGACGGGACGCCTCACAAGCCAGCCAATCAGCGACGCTCAGGGCGGGTCGCGAGCCGGAAGCGTCTGCGGAAGTTTTTTTTTTCAGCCAATCACCACGCGTCTGTGAGCCCCTCTCGGGCAGCTCCGAGCAACCGTCCCGCCTTTCTTTATCCAAAGGATCCGGAATGTTTGGAGCCTGCTTTAAACTTCGTTTAGGTTCTGTTGTTTTGTTAGGTTAAAATGTGTTAAGGTGCCTAACGGTGGTGATCATGCCTTTAATTCCAGCACTCAGGAGGTTTAGGCAAGAGGATTTCTGTGAGTTCGAGGCCAGTCTAGTCTACAGAGAGAGTGCTGGGCGGGGGGGGGGGGGGGGGGGGGGCGCTGAGACGACCTGCAGCCCTGTTTAAAGCCCTGAACATGAATGAGCATCCCTGACAATAATCGCAAAAACAGGCACTACATCTTAAAAAGAGCTCACAGTTCAATTGCTGGAGTGTTTATCTAGCATTCAGAACGCACTAGATAGGTCCTCACTATCCCACAAAACTAGGGGTGCGGCTCAGGCCTATAACTATAGCCAGCTATTCTGGAGTTGGAGGCCAAAATTTAAAATCCTCTTCAGCAGCACTATGAGTTTGTTCAAGGCTACCCCTAATATAAAAGAGACCCTATCCCACCCCCATCCCCGGGGTGGGGAACAAAACAAAACGTTTCAGGGGCTAGAGAATGGCTCAGGGTTTAAGAACACCGGCCCCTCTTTCAAAGGACCTGTGTTCGGTTCCCAGCACCCACAAGGCAGCTGACAGCCTATAACATCAGTGTCAGAGGATCCAAAGCCCTCTCCTGGCCTCTGAGGGCACTGAAGACATGGGTATACAGACATAACATGCAGGCAAAATAAAAATAAATGAATGAATAAACATAAATAAGATAAAAATAAATAAAATGAATAAAAATAAATGAATCTTAAATAAAAAGAAAAATAAATAAACACACACAGACAAAACAAAAAACACCCAGGCATAGTGGGGCATGCCTTTAATCCCAGCACTAGGATGGCAAAGATAGGCAGCGCTCTGAGTTCAAGGCCAGGCCTGGTTTAAGAGTGAGTTCTGGGACAGCCAGGACTACACAGAGAAACCCTGTAGCCCTGTCTCAAGTAAAAAAATGAAAAAAGGATCTTTTTATAAAAAATGTTGCAGAGAAAAAAATTTAAAGTATATAAAGCAATTGATTAATGTAAGGATTGATCAATAGTATAAGCCAGGCAGTGGTCACACCTTTAGTCCCAGCTCTCAGAGGCCAAGGTAGGCAGATCTTTGTAAGTTCTAAGCCAGCCTGGTCTATAGAGCAAGTCCAGGACAGCCAGGGCTGTTACACAGAGAAACGGTCTCAAACAAAACTCCAAAAGTATAAACCAGGGGACCGTGCTGGAGCAAGGTTCAATGGCAAAGAACATTTCTTCCAGAGCAATGGCTCTCAATCTGTGGGTCCTGACTCTTTTAGGGGTCAAATAACCCTTTCACAGGGGTTGCCTAAGATAATTGGAAAACACAGATATTTACATAACAACTCATAACGGTAGCAAAATTATAGTTATGAAATAGCTACAAACATTTTTATGGTTGGGGGGAGCTCACCACAATAGAGGAACTATATTAAAGTGTCTGCAATTCCAGTCCCAGGGGATATGGCACCCTCTTCTGGCCTCTGAGCAACCATTTAAAAAAATATATATATACAAACCAGATGAGGTATGCTGGTGCAAGCCTTTAATCCTAACAGTGAGGAGGCAGAGGCAGAAGCAGGTGAATCCCTGAGAGTTTGAGGCCAATCTGGTCTACAAAGTTTCGGGCAAGGGGGGTGGAGCACAAGGTGTGGTGACTATCTCCTGTAATCCCAGCTAGATTGTAAAGTTTTGTAATTTAGTGACCCTTTGGTCAACCTAGTACTTGGGAGGTGGATGCAGATCAGGAAGATTAGAGATTCAAGGCTAAATCTCGATTATGTAACAAGTTCCAGGCTAGCCTGGCTTGTGTGCAGCCCTGCCTAAAAAAGGAAGAAAACAAAACAGCCAAGAAGTAGACTGATTGGGGAAGAGACAAATAGTTAGTTTGGGATTTGTTTCTTTTTTGAGACAAGATCTCACTGTAGATGCGGGTGAGGCTGATCTCAAACTCACAGAGATCCACCTGCCTCTGCCTCCTTAATTCTAGGATTAAAGAGGCATGTGTCACCATTCCAACCTACCAAGCTTTCTTCTTACTTTTTATATTGATGCACTTGGGAAACATTAAAACTTCTGAGGTACAGCTGGGCCTGGTGGTGCACACGCCTGTAATCCCAGCACTCAGGGAAGCAGAGGCAGGTGGATCTCTGTGAGTTCAAGGCCAGCCTGGTGTACAAAATGAGTTCAGGACAGCCAAGGCTAAACAGAGAAACCCTGTCTAAAAAAAAAAAAAAAAAAAGAATCTGAGGTACATGGATCAGGAATCTGAGGCCATGCAGCTGGAAGAGGTGGCTTACCAGTTAACACCCTGTGCTGCTTTTCTAGAGGACTGAATTCAAAGAACTCCCATCACGCTACAGTGCATGATTGTAACTTTAACGTCCTCTTCTGGCCTCTCAGGGAAATTTACACTTATGTGCACATACTTCTACACAGACACACATGCATACAGATAATTTAAGCTTGGCAGCGGTGGCGCACACTTTTAATCCCAGCACTCAGGAGGCAGAGGCAGGCGGATCTCTGTGAGATAGAGGCCAGCCTGGTTTACAGAGAGTTCGTTCCAGGATAGCCAGTGCTGTGTAGTGGGGTGTGGAAATCCAGGGAAAAGAGTTAGTGTGTAACAGCACTTGCTTTGCAACCCTGAGGATCTGAGTTCAAATCCTCAGAACCCTGTTTAAAAAAAAGAAAGAAAGAAAGAAAGAAAGAAAGGAAAGAAAGAAAGAAAGAAAGAAAGAAAGAAAGAAAGAAAGAAAGAAAGAAA